TAAGATACTCTGAGTGGAACAAAAAGGCAGAATTCAAATTGTATTGTTTTGATCCCGGTTATGTAAATTTAAATGCAATAGATGGAAGGAAGGAAGCTAAACAGGTAGAGTGTTAACCATAGTCTCTGGCTTGTCTAATTATGGATGGCTATTATTTCCTTCCTCTACCCTCTTCCAAATTTGACAAATTTTACAAAATGTGGATTTATTGTTTAGTAAATAACATATTGAGCAGTCTTTAACTTATTCTCATTCTTCAACTTCTCTGCAGAATTTGAATTTTAGCCTTGTTTTTATTATTTCACCTGTGCTCTTTTTCCCCTTGCTTTAAAAAAAATAGTTCTTCCTTTAACTTTGTCAATTCCTTATCCTACATCCTAAATGTGGGTGCTGCTGAGAGTATTCTCTCTGGTCCTCTTTTCTCTCTTGGTAATGTCATTCATATCCTGTCTCCTCATTTCTCTTCTCAGTATTAGCCCAACGTGATCTGCCATTTACCAGACCAGTCTGCCTACAGATCCAGCCCATCATGGCCTAAACCTGCCCCTTGACTTTTTATTCCCTTCCGCATTTGGTCAGCATTTATTGGCTGTCCACTATGCCCTAGGCAGTCTGCAAGAGACTAGGATGCAAGACAAATGGAAGACAGCCTTTTTCCTCAAGCAGCTTTTAGCTACCTTTCACCCCTCACTTTTCCAGTTATCAAATTCAAATGTTAGAGTCAGCACTGAGTCCTTCTGTTTTTCATTCCCCCTACCAATCAAGCAGTTGCTATATTCTGCCTATGACTTTGAGCTCAGAAACATCTTTCAATTTCATGACCTCTTTTTTCATACCCACTGTCAACACCCTCTTTGAGCCTTTATTATTTCCTGGATTATCCCATGAGAGCTTCCAAAGTGATGTCTTCTTCAATGTACTCTCACCCACAGCTCCATCTCACACACAGAGATAAAGTAAGTCACCTGAAAACAGAGTTTAGGTCAGAGTGGTCTGCTCTGCAAAATACACCCAAAAGCTTCTCATTAAATACTGAATAATTTCCTCAAGTTGGTATTTAAGGTCCCCATTCGCATGTATTGGGTTGAATTGAATGGATTCTTACTTTGTAGTTCAGAAAGGGTAGAATACTAGCCATTTTATATGGTACGACTGAATCCTATTTCCATCCTTACCTTATAAGATCCCCCTTCTTCTGCTCTGCACTCTAGAATATAAATGAGATCAGTCTACACTTTCCACGCATGTTTACTTTCTTTGGTCTCTTTGCTAATGTTTGTTCTTCCTGGAGCTCGTGCATGCATTATCTCTCCTTTGAATACGTCTTCTCATCCCTAACCTCCACTTCAAAAGACCCATCCTCCAGGAAGTATTTCCTGTTGAGTCTCTTCTCAATTGTTAGTACTCCTGGCCTGCAACGAAGTCCCTTAAGAAATTATTCATGTGTCTCTTATGGTACCAATGAGGCTTGAGGCTACTTCTTTGTTTTGTTCTGCTGCACCCAACTGAACTCCAAAAGCGTCCTCTTCTATATACGCCTTTGCAAGTAGAGCATCTTAATACCCGTCTGTGTAAATGTTAGTGCCCTCAGTTATTTTTGTGGCTTAGTTAGCCGTATTTAAGGTTGAATGTGGTATCTGCACACTATACAGTATGCACACTGCATACTGTTCCCTGCTCGTTTATTTCTTTTTGGTCATTTGAAACTTCTGCTATTATTTCAATTAAAAAAATTGCAAAATATGGCATCAAGTTACGCTATTTATTACTTGAATTCTCTGGCTAATTTTCTTATATAGATTATGCTATTTAGTAATATGCCTTCATCATGATGACACAGGAGCGCTTTATGAATTAACTTGTTTTAAAACTTCCTAATTTATCTCTGATATTCCTCCTTAAAGAATAAAGTTCTTTAAAAAAAGAATAAAGTTCTTCAGTTTAAATATAAAATACATATTAAAATATAATATATAGCAGAGTTTGAATATTATGTTACATATTTGAAGATATATTTACTCCTAACTTAAGTATATAAAAACAAATATCTGCAGGCATACTGTTTTAACCTTATTTCAGTATATATCATGTGCATAAATAAAATATTAAAGCAAAGGCTATGAGCCAAAAAAATCTACTAGAAAAAAAATGTAGTATGTTGTGGTTAATATTGAAGGACTTTGGGCCAGATTGTGTTGATTGCCCAGCTGGAGTCTCCATTCATTCATCTATAAAATGGAGACCATACCCATCTCCCAGGATTGTAGAGAGAGTTAAAACAAGATAACATACGTTAAGGGCTTAGGATATTATCTAGCATGTAGTTAATAACAAAAAATTATAGTCGTATTAATAAAAATAAATGGCAACAAGAAAAAATAGCATTCTCTAAAACTATTATGACTCTAGAAGTTTCCTTATACATTATGAAATGATGTCATACTAGTCCATAAGGAGCAACAAAGCATTTAAGAAGACTATGACATCATTTCCAGTATTACAGAGGGAGACAGAGGGGGAGAGAGAGAGAGAGAGAGAGAGAGAGAGAAGGCCTCCTCCCTCCCCTCTGCTGCAGCAAAATCTTGGCTGAAGACATGAAGAGCAATAAACAATGTCCAGCTTGGGAGTAGTATTTAGGAAGCATCCATAAAGCAAAACTCATGCTGCAGTTTGGCTTCTTTCCCTTGCTGATAAAAGTGAAAAGGGACACTTCAAAAATGCTTTTCCATCTTAACCTAAAACTGGGAAAATCCTTTTCTATATAGCTGGAGAAATTTTCACACATGGTTTGCCGGATTTTCTACCTGATATTATCTAATTAATTATTATTAAAGACATATAATGAATATTTGGGGTAGCTGGAAAAAAAGTACCAAATATCTGTTTTACAGTGTGCAATCTCATGAAAAACAAGAACAAAAAAGTAATGGGGGAAAATGCTGATGAATCATTTACCCATCAAATAATTAAGTAAATATTTGTTGGACTCCTACTGTGGTCCAGGCACTATTTTATGTGCTGAAGATATGAGTGAAATAATTAACCAATGTCAAACGAGTTTGATTAGCAAAACCGTGATACAGATCCCTGACTCACTCACAGTCCAAAAGTCAAATTCAATTCTGAATTGACGCCATAACGGTCTATTTCAATAAACTCTGGTTTATTACACAAAATCTGTCAACACACCCCTAGATAAACTTAAAATGGTCCTAGAAAATTTAGGCACCAAGAGACCTTTGGTGAGGTCATATGCCACTTCTCCAATACCCAGATAAATCTCAACAGAGCTGATTAGTTCCTATTAGCAATATATTGAACACATTTTTTTGGTGGTTAGATAATAACATCATCCTTTTCCAATTCACGTAAATATCCCATCGTTCAAAATCAATATAATGAGTTGCTAAATGAGCCTGGGGATTAGAAAACAGATTCTCACATAAAATATATACTGTGTGGGTTTTGTTAGATGGGAAAATGCCAAATAGATTTTTTTCCACCAAACATGAAATGTATTCACCTACTCTGAGTGGAACCTAAAAGGAGGGGATAGTCCCAAGGGTTTTACAATTTCTAGGAGGAATAGTAAGTCTTGTCTGGGGATTTCATACCTGATTCCACTGAGTAATTTCTAAGGAAAAAAATGCAATATATTTCATGTATCTCTGAGACTAGTCTATTCGATTTTGTTCAATATCTGAAATAAATGCAGTTTCCTTTTTTAGAGCACACTGATTTATTTTAATGAATTCATTCTCTTGTGCAAAAATATTATGTGATACTGCCTACACTCTGGAAGGGTGGTGACAGTGGCATCTGCCCCTTCCCTCTCTCCCACAATACCTACCCACAGCAGCAAGGCTCTTAGCAAGTGCTTGTGGAATGAATAAATTAAGGTTCTCATAATTACACACTGCAGAGAAAATTAAACAAGGACAATGCATTTGTCTCCTTCAACTGCTACAAATATTCATACTCACAGGTGCACACTCACAGACTTCTGGTATTTCAGGATCAGTCACTGAACATTAACTATTTTTAAAGTACATAAAAAAACTAAACTAACCTCACTGCATAAAATATTTTGGGCTGATAAGCTTGAGAGGAAATGCTATGTGAAGCCAAAGAAAGATTTAAAAGATGTTATTGATCTTCTCAGCAGGGCAGAAAATGTCTTCCATTTTTTGAAGGCAAATTACAAATGTAGCTTTTGTTGACAAGAGTATATGGTGAAGTCAAAGATAACTTTAAAGAATTAAACAAAAAGTAATACCCGTAACTGCCATCTCTAATCAGTATACATCCTGATGCTGAATTTGAAAATGAATATTTTTCATGTAAGGCAGAAGGCCCAGGATCAATGGATTCAACTGCTTCCATGGCAAGATGAAGGATTACTTCCTTATGTCGATAAAGCATATATAAAATCAGTTCATTTAATAACTAACAACCTCAGCCTTTAAATATGGTGCTAAAGATTAAAGCATCAGTGAAGAAGTTACAATATTTTATTCACAAAACCCAACAATACTGAGTCATTCTTAGGCTCTCATCTCTAGCGCTCCTTCTACCTGGGAAGGGCAAGCCATTTCATTTACCCATTTAAAAACATCACTTATTAGCAAGATTCCCTCAGATAAAATCATTACTTTAGTATATTCCTGTTAAATTTAAATGACTGAATTTTCATTAAGATAGAGAATTTTTGATTTTTTTTTTAGCTGCTACAATAATAAAAATCCGAAAATAAGCCAGACATATTGATATTTGTTAACAACTTGCAACCCAGGCAAAAGACATAATTCCTTAGACATCTCATAATCAAAACAGCCTTGGATAATGGCATTCTCTGCATGGGAAATCATACATGCTATAGACAATGATCAATGTAGGCTTACAGATAAAAGACCAACCATAGAGAGATTAATTTAAATAAAAACATTCCAAATCCTCCCTGATTTCCCCTCATTTAAACATCCAAACAAAACATGTGGTACCTTTTAATTTTCTGAATGAGTAGTTCCCAATCAATGTTTCTTCGGTTAGAGACAACAAGCTGAAGAATCTATCGAAACAAAACAAAAGAAAAAAATACATATACAGATTTGTTAACTAAATATTAAAAATCGTAACTCACCAGTAAGCAAATGCACTCTTTATAATCCAGATAATAAATCTATGTCTTGAGATCTGTAGTACAAATAATGCAGTACTTGAATTTTTAGGAAGCTCGGTAATGAATTTTAAAGCATTTTACTTTGAGACCACATAAAGCAAATCCTTTGAAAAATGGATTAAAAATAAAATGAAATAAAATTAAAAAAAAAACCCGAAGCATTACCAGTGCATATGCAGCGATACCACCCAAGTCTAGCCTTTGAGGTTTGCTGCAGAATCCTTCTTCCGGAGCATTATCTCTACGGGCTGGCTCTAGCTCTCTAGCTCCAGACAGACGCAGTCTGCAAGCCACCAGCTCCTCTCTGTGTGTGTCGGGGAAAGGGAAGCTGCAAATTAGAAAAAGTCCCCGCAGTGGCGAAAAGGAAAATAAGGCGAGTGGGAGAGGGAGAGAGAGCTCACTAGCCTCAGAATTTTCGAGAATGATGACAAGCCACCCAGCTCCGCCATCATTCACTGACAATAAGATGCAGCCCTGGCTTATGATTTAGCGGTTTACCATAGGGGCGTCTGGTATCAAATGCCTGACAGGCATTTTAATTGCCTCCATCCAAGTGTGTCCCCAGGAGTCGAGTCTATAAGCCTATGAATGTCATCATCTGGTCTCCTTTGTGTTAATGCCAGACACACGCACACACACACACACACACACACACACACACACACACACACACACTGTGCTTAAATAGAGAGTTTCCCAGCATAATATAGGATTACAAATAAATCTGGTTACACAAACTGGACATGATAAATAGTAGTTTTGGGAATACTTATTATCTACATTAATGACATCAAAGATTGTCTGATGCTCTGTCACTGGCTGCTCATTACGATATTTTAAAAACTGAATATCCAAAATTGTTCACTTATTGTCTACTTATATTCCAAAATAAATATCTGTGCCCAATAGAAAAATGCATATATTTATTTGTATTTTCTTAAGGAAAATTCAGTACCCTGGTAACTGTGATAATTACACACTTGGCAATGTTTTCCTTACAAGGGAGAATGCAGCAAAAAACAAAGAGGATTAGGAAACCAGGGTTGATGTGTGATTTCTGTGGGCAATCTATTTTATTCCGTTTACAGACAGAAGTGAAAGGAGGTGGCAATGAGCTTGGGTACTGGGACCTTACAGTCCCTGAGGGCCAAGGCAGAGAACTGAATCTCTGGCATAATCAGTACCCCCTTTATGTTAGCAACTGAAATTAACAGTTGAATATCCCTGTTTCACAGTGCCCCTTATGTAGGGAGGTTAAATGTGGAATAATTCCCTGAATTTATTGCCCTGATAGAAGGGCTGGGAAAAACGTTAATAAATAAATTATTTTTTACAGCATTGGTAGCTTCTTGCATCAGTGAATGGAGCAAAATTCAATGTATACCAAAAGGGCCGGCTGTGAAGAAGGTTGCTGGGAGGGAGCATCACCATGGTTACCGGAAACAGAAAGTACTGAGAAAAATAAGGTAATGATAGAGAAAAAGGAAGGAGACTCCAGGGGAGGAAATTTAGAGTGATATGCTTCATTCTTTGCTTTCTGGAAAGAACTGTGTCTATCAGTTTTACACTCTATTTTGAGCTCATTAAGATGAATTTACATTCTCCATTAGCCACGTTTCTTCTCCACTTTTTGATCAGGAGCTAATTCTGCTTTCATAAATATTCAAATGATGGTCCTTTTGTATGAGAGGGTTCCTACTTCTCTTTGCCTCAGTCCATATCCCAGTTTCAGGAACACCACTCAGCCTGGTCCACACCCTTTGTTTCATGGGTGAGAAAGCTGAGGCCCAGGGAATCTGGCCAAGGTCACAAAGCAGGCTGGGGATCCAGCAGACACACCATCCCCATTCTCTGACTTAGGTGCCCTGCTTTTCTTCTTTCACCAAGTGATTTTCTTTCTGCACTCCCTCCCGTTCTGTGTGCAAGAGAAAAAGATTCCAAAATCATCCTTTGTCTTTGATTTTGTGAGCCTTCCTTTATTTGCTAAAGCAGTGATCTTCGTCTTTAAAATATGTTCTACAATTCTGAGACTGGCCTTGCTTAATATCTGTGCTGTACTGTATCGGAGGTCTGAAGAATCTGGGGTAATTATGTCACTGCTTTTCTTTCATTTCCAGCCCGGCAATCAGACGAATTGAGCATGATGGCCCTTTTGTGATCCTATCTTGCCGAGCCTGAACTTAATCATCATATACTAGGCACTCTGTCATCCCTGGCATCGTTCTTTCTGCAAGCATGAAATCGGACCGTCAAACTGAGCTGCCCTCCCAAGGTTCCTCCTAGTTAATAGTGTGAAGTTTCATGAGGTTACCCAAAATAATGAAACTGGAAAACTGGGAGCCCAGGTTAAAAGAAAAAAAATTAAGAGAGAATTCATTCAAAAACAACCACGGGGGGGGGCGCAATATTTGTTAAAATCTTTCTGAGTCAGCAAAAATTGTGATTAGGATTTTGACCTTGATACACTGTGTTTATTTCCTTCATAAAATGTTCTTTCAATATTCAGTTGTTATGACTCATTGCTTTTAGGTTAACTCATCCATAGGTAGGATCAGATTGACTTTTCTGATGTCTAAAATAAAGTTGCTGCCACCACTACTGTTCTCTGCCCCCAGTATGTCAACTATCAAATAAAGAAATCACATTTAAAAAAACAATTACCCTAGTAAAATTACAGGTGATTTCAGATTTCAGTTAATCTTACCTACTGGTTAGGAGTCTTCTCTTCCAAAAAGTGTTCCTTAAATATGATCTCTCTGTTAAATGTCTATTTTTCTTCAGTGATTTGGACACTAAAGTTATTTTTCAAAACAAATGTTCTAATATGTTATATAAATTATTAATAATATGGTGTTCATTTCTGAACACAAAAAATAATGCACAAATGATGTCATTTCTTGAAACATAAATCATATTTTGTCAGAATCTCCTAAAGCACACATAATAGTCCTGGTCAGTCTAAAAAAATAGTGCAGCTTCAAAAATATTTAATACTTTTCAGGAGTCATTTTTTGAGAAGACCTGCTTCGTCATTGAGAATGAGTTGGTAAATTCTTTTTCTTTTTTCTTTTTTTCTTTTCATTTGTTAGTGGAAGGAACTATTACTTTAACATGTCCATTGTAGAGTAAGCACTATGTAATTCTTCCCTTTAATTACATTCTAAGAATACAAAATGGCAGATAATTGAGAGCCTTTCACGATTTTTTGTATTTTTTATATTTATGCTCTATGAGCCTAAACTGTACTGCTTTCCTTATCCTTTCTCTCTGACAATATTCTGGACTTTGGCTTAGTACCATTCATCAGTTCATCTAACCAGTTTTGATGACACACATACATATATTTCAAACACTTGATTAAGTTCTAGGTATGGGGGAAAAACATTTCCTTCTATAGGACCTTTAATTATAATGGAGGGGTCATAAAAATAGAGAAGAATCTAAGCTGACACGTTCTCTCACCTTGATGACACACTATGTCTCTGCCCCTGTGTTACAATCTGCTGCATCTCAGATCCTGATCTTTAGGAATCTGATTTAACTATATCCCCAAATTCAGTTAGCTCAGCCCTGTGGCTCTTCTGGAAGACCCTTAGTTTTACTCCCTAAATATCCTGGCCTATGTATATCTGTGTCACTCTTGAAGTTCTTGAGGAATGAAAAGTGGAGGTATTTCTTCCTTACCTCCTTGAAGTCTTTGGTCATAGAATCATCTTCCCAGCCAAGGCTTTCCTGACTACCATAATGAAGTCTGCAACCATGTCCCTCCCACCACGCTTCATCCCTGCTCCTTCTTTCCCTTTCCACAGCACTCATCACCTTCCATCACACCACAGACTTGTATTTATTATTTACTATTGTTTACTATTTATTACCTGCTTCCCTCTGATATGTCCCGTGAGGGAAATCATCTTTACATGTTTGGGATGCTGGTGTATCCAAAGCACCCAAAACAGTGGCTGGGAACATAACATAGTAGCATTCAAAGTACTTTTTTAAATGAGTAAATGTGAAAATCACATTAGTGGATGAACTGAAGCATTTAAGCACAAGACAAGTCTTTGTGTTTCATATTGATTTCCTTGCTCTATATATTCAGTCTTCCTTAATTGTATTTTATTTGTATTATAAATCACATTTTCCCATGGAATCAATATTTTTTGTTATTTCCATTAAAGGATATACATTTATTTAAAATAGGGACTTGTCTCCTGCTTTCTTTGAATTCCGCAAAGTACCTAGCGTGGGACTGTCAGCTCTTAAATGCTGAGAAAGAGCTTATTTGATAAATAATGCTTGTATTGGTGTTAAACTGCTAACATTTAATCTCTAGATTATTTAAATAAAATGAGAATAGTTAATAAATCTATATTACCTTGTGGTCGAAATGCTTAGAAGCAGCTTTTTATTTAATTAAAAAAAGTTTCAGATTTTATTTTTAGGTAATCTCTACACCCACTGTGGGTCTCGAACCCACAACCCCAAGATCAAGGTTCACATGCTCTACCAACTAAGCCAGCCAAGGCACCTCTGAAGTGGCTTTTTATAAATTGACTATATTTACTATACTTTGCACTTAAAAATTAATAATAGAAATAATAATTAGATATAATAGAAATAATTACAGTTTTACATTATACTCTTAAATTTGTCATTTTAAATATAAGCAGTTATCTGGGTATTTTATAAATTATTATGACATTCAAATTCACTGCACACTGTTTGCCTTATTTACCACAGATGGCATCTTTTCTTCCCACAAATTTTGTCCCCTCAAAAGCATACCGTGGTCAGACTCTATGGCCCAGCACCCTCCCCGCTATAAGACCTACTGAGTCAGAATTTCCATGGGATGGGCCTGATACCTATGTGTTCAAGGTGACTTAAAT